ACAGGGAAGTTGTTCTTCCTCACCAGGAGATGGAACTTTCTGTGTTTCAGTTTGTACCCATTGCCCCTTGTCCTGTCACTGGCCACCACCAAGGAGAGTTTGGTCCCATTCTCTTTACATTCTCCCCTCAGGTGTTTATACATATTAATCTCCATTGAGTTCAAGTTACATGTGAGGCATCTGGAGTTGGCTTTCAGTAGTTGGGGGGAGAATTGGGAGGAGAAGGAGAGAGAAGTGATGTAGACCGTTCCTCTAAATGAACAGCCTGATATATTGTTTGGTTGTTGCTTTTCTTCTCAAATCTTTGAAGACCTTTTTTTTTTTTTAAGGATTGACCTTTTCTGTTTTAATTATTTATTAGGATTTAATTGCTCTTTATGTATTTTACACGCTCTAAGATCTATTCAATGCCCCTAGCAGTATCCTCCCTGAAGTAAAAAGAGAAGCACAATAAAAAAGGCATGATTGAAAAACCCAAGAAAAAATCTTAAAATGTCAGGATATTCTATATTTGTACATTGTGAGTATTCAAAAGTATGTGTTTCAAGTAAAGAATAACGTATTTTTATGTATATTGTAAATAAACACCCCCATTCCTTCATTTATCCTTTTAGTTGATATAATCCTATAAATTACAGCCGCAATTATGGCAGGCAAGTAATCACTAATTTTAACCGAAGAAATAAATATTTCACAGAGAAGATAACTACAGGTTAACCTTTTGAGCACAATGACAAAATACTGATACTATTGAAAAAAGAAAAAAGAAAACCAAAAAAACCAAAGTAAGATTAGTGCATTAAACATACTGTTATGATGGTAAACACCTCGCTATAGAAACTTCATTGTAAAATCCTCTTTTATATAAAGCAGGAAATTGCATTTCTGCACTAGAATTACACCAACACACATTTCTCTGAAGGTTTAAAAGAATTTTATTACCTGAAAAAATATTTTGAAATAGACTTATGTTTTTCTTTTTCTCCTTCTCTGTACGCCACCATTTAACAAGCCTCTAGAGGAGTACAAATCTCAGCACTACTATCTATTCTTTTCCTTTTTTTCTTTTTTTTTTTCCTGAAACTGCCCATCATATTAAAACAAAGCTGCACAAGGAGATTACTTAAAGATCAAAAAAAAAAAAAAAAGAAAAAAAAATAGTAATCTTTAAAATTATCCAGAAATGAACTGCAGGAAGTATTCTGATATTAACTAAGTATTAATTTTAGTGATTTACTCTGCACTTATATAAAATGTTGAATATAGTTTCAAATTATTTCACTGCTCAGTTTTTCAGAGGATGAGAGATAACTTACAGACTGTTGTCTATCAGCAGTAACAATGATATCACTTTGGCTTAGATTAAGTATGAAAAGACCACACAAAAAAAGATAATATAATTTGGACATGATATTTACAAAAGGTATTATGTAAAAATCATCTTTCTTAACTCCAAACAGAAGATTCTACTACACAAAAGCTGTAGATGTATATATGACAACAGAATCCCTGTTAAAATAAAAGCTTTAACATTAACTAACATCAACTATAACATTATCTAACCTTTGAAATCCAATTAATTTTAAATGAATAAGTAGATATATGTTTAAGGGATGGGCCTAATCAAAAGCTTGAGTATTTCCAATGAATTACTATTAACATTCTTGCTGTTCCTAAAACCACACTGAAGCCTAGTAGGCATAAAAGGGGTGAGATAGCTCGAAGTAAGAAGATAATTATTATACAACACTCTAAATTTGAATTTATTGAAAATGTTTCATAAAAGAAAGCTAAAAAGCTATCAAGTTTTCCATATAACACCACACAAGTTGTTTATATATTACACTATCCACTCACTTCCTTCAATATCTGACCACTTATTTTATCCCTCTAAATATTAATTAAATGTGTAAAACAACTTATTTTTAAGGAATATCAGAAAAGGTAATAACCTGATAATTAAAGGATAATTAAAGGATAATTAAAGAATGGAAGAATGCTCTGTAAGAACAATACATCTCTTTTTGATTCTATTATTAGAACATGTCAGGATTTAAGATTTAACAAAAACAAAAGGAAAAGAAAAAAGGAAAAGAGAATAAGTGTTATGTAAGAACAAACAACAATGAAAAATTGACTGAGTTCTCTTCAAATCTCTTATTATTAAATTTAACCAAATAAATGTATGCATGAGTAAAAAGAGAAGCTAAATAGGTTACAATAAAGATTGCTAACATTTTTTTCTTGTGTGAAAGTTTATCTAAATTAAAAGAGTAGTTGATCAGGAAAACCTGCTGAAAAGTTACAGGTGCTACAAAAATACTGAAAAATTACAAAGTGCTAAAATACATTAGATGTAGGAAAACATTACAGACATAAAGGAAGAGAAAACACACAAATTTTAAACGTTCAGATTTTACTTTCTCTTTGATTCAATTTTTGCATGTCCCTCAAAGTATTGTCAAAGGAGAGGATCTTCAGATAGCTTGTCAAATTTACCTGAGTATAAGAGATACATTATGGTATTTCATGTTGTACCATCACAATGACTCTTCAAATCTTAACAGCAAAGTCACAGGGTTTTTTTGACTGCGTATGAGTATACCCTAATCGAAATTACATTAGTCACAATCTGTTTATAAAAATTATAAATTATTTTACTTGGAATAAAATCTGATGTTGGCCATATATTAGAAAAGCCTTGGGAAAGGCATCTGGAATAAGCATATGTATTAGGAGGAGGAAAAAAGACATAATTAAAGTACTTCTCTTAAAAGTGATGCTAATAGCTCACTAAAGACTTAGCTTTAGGTTTAGGTCTCTTAAAATCTCTTAAGATTCTTAAATCTCATCCTCCACATGACACCTTCTAGATGTCTTAGACTGACATAGCAATCATACATACATCAAGCTTAACGATTTGAAACATAATTTATACAATAGCTCAGTATTGAATAGTATTTACAGCCAACGTTTTTTTGTTCAGACCAATGTATCAGAATGGTGCCTTAAGATGATAGTGACGTGGGAAGGGAAGAAAAAGAAAAGAACAGAACTGGTCATTTACATTCATCAAAATGTATTTCCTCAAGAATGAAATTATTCAAATTCTGAAAGAGACTGTCTGTCATGAAATGGGCTTTAGAAGCCCAGAGATACCATTTAATGGAATAGGATTTTTCCCATTGACCACTAATTGCCCCTTGGCATAGATTAGTCAAAAGTAGAAAAATGCTTGATCTGTAACGATAGAGCTCTGCAGCTCTTTAAATTCAGAATTAGTCATTTGACTAATACTAGGTGTAACAATGCAGACAATTTATTCTGCTCTAAAACTGGTTGGAGAATTTCTTCTAAAAAGAAGTGAGACCTGTAGTAAGATTAAATCATAAACTGGGAAGTGTGCCTGCTTAAGAATATAAGAAATCTTGTATTTACTTTCAGGGACCTATAAAGAATAGATTTCTTTTTTTTGTTTGTTTGTTTGAATTTGCATAAAACCATCAGCATAAAATTTCCCCCAAAAGACAAAGACAGGTAGAATATCTTTCCTTTTTTTTTTTTTTAAAAAAAAAAGGGATACTTAGACATTTACATTTAGGAAGAACAAGAAAGAAGGGCAAAACAGAAGCACTAATTTACATATCTGTTATGATTAGTGTATTATGTCTTTAGCCCTGTCCATGCACAGAATTGGAAAGACAGAAAATGTAACTTGATAGAATTGACATTCTGTTGTGCTCCACTTACTGATTAAAGCACAAGTAAAGAAATCAGGAACCCCTGTTCTGTTCTTGACTTTGTCACTAATATAGCTGGGATCTTCAAGTGACTTGATTAACCTTTGTGCATTTTTCTGCTTATATGTATAATGGGGACAGGTATATTAACTTTCCATGATATACTGAGGAAGAATGCTAGAATAAGGAAAAGGATTATGAAAAGCGCACTAAATCTTAATGAAATCAGGTTCTTTCTAAATAAGGTGAATTAGGTCCAAAGAACCTCAAAAATCTAATCCTTTTGACAGATACCATGTGCAGTTCTGGGCTTCCCAGGACAGAGGGATGTGGAACTTTTAGAGAGGATCCAGTAGAGAGCAACAAAGATGATTAAGGGACTGAAGCATCTAACTTACGAGGAGAGACTGAGTTGGACCTGTTTAGAGAAAAGAAGGTTGAGAGGGGATCTTATCAACATGCACAAATACCTGAGGGGAGAATGCAGGGAGGAAGAGGCCAAACTCTTCTCAGTGGTGGCCAGTGATAGGATAAGGGGCAATGGTACAAATTGAAACACAGGCAGTTCCATCTCCAGGTGAGGAAGAATTTCTTTACCGTGAGGGTGCCAGAGACCTGGAACAGGCTGCCCAGGGAGGTTGTGGAGTCTCCTTCTCTGGAGATCTTCCAAACTTGCCTGGATGCCACCCTGCGCCCCGTGCTCTGGGTGTCCCTGCTGGAGCAGGAGGGTTCACTAGATGATCTCTAGAGGTCCCTTCCAACCTCAGCCATTCTGCGATTCTGTGTTAAACACTGTCTCTAGTTTTTGTGAGAGGCAATCGATACCTTTCTATTTAACCAGGATTATACTCATTAGCAAGGCCACATGGTCAAAAAAAAAAAAAAAAAAAATGAATACATTAGTCCTTGAATACTTCATGACTCTGCAGAGCCTCCAATGGTTTCCTTCATGTACTAGTAGATGAAAAATGGAAGGTGTTTTGGCTGCAGTTTTTAATATGACATCCAATAGGGGCTGATATATAATACAGGAGGAAGAATGCTGGTGCACGGGTTGTGGTGATAACCCTGTCCCCTCAGTGGATAGGAAGCTGATTTTCCTTGCTTAATCTGTTATGGAGCTCTTCACTATTACTTCATTTGGTGCTGCTCACTGATCATAATTCCTGGCCAGGATTCAATACCTGTATTGTAATTCAGAACACCCAACAATTGCTTTTAAGGAGTAAGAATTTAAATGTAAGGTGAAACGATACCTACCTGATACCTACCTCTAGCTGGCTAACATTCAACTTGACTAGAAGCTCAGAAGAGAGTTTGATTTCAGTTTTTATATTACTATTCTGCAAAGCAGTTTTAATTCCACCTGATTAATAAGACAGGTATAAAATTCGGAATTACCAAAATATAATAAAACATAAACATAACCTTCCTTTATCTCTATTTAGAACAGATTTACAAAAAAATCACCAATTTTATTTCTGTTTTTCAACTGCTACATATATTTTAAAAATAAACAACCTTTTTGCCATTGGATCAGATGCATTACCAGAACAAGCAAATATTAAAGCAATTTAATTACAGAATGTTCAATATTTGAAGTATCTAAACTATTAATGGGTGAAAGTAGATCTCTTTTTAGCCTTAAAAAAAAAGTGCTCTTAAGGAAATGTTGCAAAACAAGTGATTTGTTTTTAGATATTATAGTCTCAATTTCCTGAATTTCAGCAAGATAAACAGGCATTTCTAGTCATCTGACTTGATAATCTGCCTTAGAATAAGTTAAATGATACTCTAAACATACTTACTTATCACTTCATTCTATATAATAATAATAAAAGAAAACCTTGAACACTAGTTCAATTACTGACTTCTACATTCTAGCTATATGAAGTTATTCTGCTTAACGCATCTTGCATCCTGTAGGGTAAAGTGTGAAGAGCTGTAAGAGGAATACAAACTTGTATTTCTATACCTACACAGATGAGAAGGTTGTGTAAAATGTGGTATTAACATAAATTATGCCATTTCATTGTTCTCCTCAAGCTTGTGATGTACAGTTCACGAAGCTTTCTCATTAACAGAAGCTGTATTTGTAAACAAGCAAAACCAGTAATTTTCTGCATGCCACACTTTTATTTCACCTTTCACTTCACTTATTATAATTAGCTAATCACATTCAGGTATACATATCCTTTGCATCCAATTAAAAAAAAAAAAAGAACAAAGGAAAAAAGCCACTTTCATGAATTAAAACTATCACCTAACACTTCTGGCATTCAACAGACACACCACCACTTAATTGGAAAGTAGTAAATACCATTATGACAGTAAAATCATTGTTTCAAAATAGTACACACATGTACTATTGATGAAATAAAATCAACAGATAACTGCCTTTCACATCCCACTGGAGTGAGATGGCCTTGCAGAAGAAACAGTTTCGCCCTTCAGATTAGTTTCTTCCTGACTTTTTGTTTTTCAGCTACCTCCAACTCTTAAAAGATTTAAAAGGAATGAAGAGGGATGTTTTTGTTTAATTTCAATGACAAAATGTTTTAACTTACATAGAAGGGAAAATAAAGGTACAACTGAGATAGCTGCACATGTAAGTTGGCTGATTATAAATGCCAGGGGAACAAGGGATGCTCCTGTCCAGGGAAAAGGCCACAAGAGAAGGAAAACTTGAGTTTTCACAAATGCGCGTGGCAGGGGGCCTCCCAGTCCTGTGTGAGGCAATGGGAAGTGGAAGAGGTTGAAGTCACCATGAAGATGTTTCTTCCTGACATTCCTTGCCTTTATTTGTTTCCCTCCATAGTTCTTTGGTTTTACTCTTCCTCTGCCCCAGCATGCGTCCCCGCTCCCCCACAGGCTGGGATCCCTTGAGGGATATGAACAGCACTCACTTCCAGCACTGCTCATACCTCTTACAGCTTAATATGGCAAATTGGAGGGGTGGTTGGGGTGTTGCATTATGCTTGCTTTGCTTCTCCAGTCCTGTGGAGGCATGCATCGATATATATTTTGTCCATAGCTTATTTAATAATTCAACTCAAATCCATTATGTTATTTTCTTACTATGCTACTCAAATACATTCGGGGCTAAGGCATTGCAGTAGGCCATCAACTCAGTGTAATTTTCTTTTTATAGGCATATGTAGAGATGATCAGCATTTGCGTATCTTCAGTCATTTTAAATGAAAACAATTACTCAGACATTTGAGCTGCACCAAAGGTACATTAATTTGATATTGCTTTTCAGAGAAAAGGTTGAAGAGGACATGAGGTAAAAATAAAAGAACAAGTCTTCTAAGGGAGGGGTTTTCCTGACTATTTTCTGGAAAACAGTAATTTTAGATCTTCCTGAGCTCTAGGCTGTATTCAAGTTTTGATGTTTCATTCAGGATGGATGTAGTTTTCTCAAACATCAATAAAGACTTTCAAAGTAACTTTGAGCTTTAGGTTTCCACAATTTAATTAGCTATTCTTAGGCAAAAACAAAGAAAAACCTCCTTACATTTATTTTTAGAATATTATATGGTAATCCAATTACAAAAATACTACTTCCGGAATAAGAAAATAAGATGATCCAGAAAAACATTCAATTTAATTGAAGAAAGACTACAAATTTGAAGTATCTTTCATTCTGTTCCAGGAATACAGTTAAATAATTTTAACTGAAATCAATGCTACCACCTAAGAGAAGAAAGATTTCTAATAATCTGAGCTGAAAATTAGCAGGGAGAAGGGACTGGGGATGGTTTTGCAGCCACATTTAAACCTGAGTCTCTCTGCTCCTTTGGAGCAAACGATACCACAAGGGTAAACTGAACACTGGGCAAAGTATAAACACTTTTTATAATAAGCCACTAAAAAAACTTTTAGCTGAGTATCTCATTTGATCTTCAAAAGTTACTCTTAATGATGGTCTCAGCTTTTCATACATTGACTTAGCGATTTCATTCATGTTCTTGCAATTTGATTCAAGAAAACTGAATTTGATCCACAAGCACAATAATAAATTAAACATATAGTGAAGGGGAAGTTAGAGACTAGAGTCACTCAGACTTCATAGATCTTAGCATATTACGACCTGGTGAAAAACTTATTGTAACTTTGATGCATCTTTGGAGAACACAGTATTTAAGACTTGGCCCTCATTATTTAACTGATACGCACAATATAAAGAAGGCAGCTCAATTAAATGTCTTCAGGTTCATAAGGAAGAAGAAAAAATAATTACATTCTTACTTAAAAAAAAGCAAATGAAATCATTGTATGGGTACTTTCCATGATAGATTTAAAAAAAAAAAAAAAAAAAAAAAAAAAAAAACCTCTTCCTATGTAATTCAGTGGTAGTCACAAGCCTATATCAGATTTCATGCAAAATCATGTAGAAGAGCATCAAAAAGGATAACATGACCACCAAAGATACTGCAGAAGTAGCCTCTACAGTGTTTCCTGGAAGGGGAGGGGGAAGCTGTTTTTTTTCACCAAAGAAAGATGCTTGGAATTCCAAAAAGCCCAAACTTTGTCATGTGGGTTTATGTGCTTGTTCTGCTGCGAAGTTCTTCTATGTTGCTGACTAAATCACCTGGTCTCTCCCTGCCTTTATTTATCTATCAGATGGTGATAATAATGCTGATTTACTTCACAAGAATGTTGTGAAGATTAATTAGACTCCTCAGAAAGCAGGTACTTTTGAAGTGCAAAGTATCATCTGCATACAGGAGAGAAATACCTTCCCCCCCCCCCCCCCCCCCCAATACAGGCTGTTAATTATCTGCAAAACTGTGCTTGGCAAACATTTGATCTGAAACTTTGTAGATAAGGTTATGTGGGTTTTCTACATTTCCTTTTTTCTTTTTTTCTTCCCTCTCATATTGTAAAGCAAAGCAAATTATAATGCTAACCTTGTATTTTTGCATAACTTTAAATTAACTTTTAATTAGATATTGACCTGGTGGCTATGTTGTACCTTAATAACACTTGCCTGTAATCTGTTAAACATTTATAAATTTCATGTAGGTTATTCAACACAGATAAATTTACAGAGTTCTATGAGTGGGATAATAAAAGTTCAAATGTTTGTAGTGTGGTTAATTATTGAATTATGCTGAGTGTTTGGACAAGTTTTTTGCTAAATTCAAACGAAAATTACTATACTGGGCAGTATTGTTATCTATCTGAATACTTGGCTGTTTCCTTTAGCATCTGGAATATTTTAGGTACACCCTTAAAGGATTTTTTTATATATATACTTTTACAGTAGAACTGATTGAAGAAACCATTTGAGTGGAAGCAGGGTTCACCTTCACAACAGCAGCACTGCCGTGCTATTCCACCGACTACGCCAAATTTTACTGTCGTGCTATGGTGCCGTAAAATAATCCAGAGGGGCTTTTTGGTTTGGGGTTTTGTTTTGTTTTAAATTATTCACTAGTGTAAGATCTTTGGTATAAAACCATCCACCACCAATCTGGTGCAATTGTTATGGGGTGGGCTTAACAATTAGTAATTAGTAACTGGGGGCGGGGGAAAGGCAAAGAAAGATTAAGTAAAATGCTATAGCTCTTTACTTCACCTCAAAGTTATAGGGGGCTCTCAACTTTGCAAGGAGCTGTAATTGAGCGCTCTTACACCCTGAATGTACCCGGATACGTTCAACCAACTTTCAGCCTCCCCAGCCTCCCGAGGAGTCGCCTTTGCCCCGCGTCCCAGGTTAAGGGGAATTGAGGGATACTCACAGTCCGACTGGAGGAGTTAGTCGCTCCCGATCGCTGCTAGACTATATCCTTTATACTCTTTGAAAAGGAGTACGAGACTCTGCTACACGCATCCTCACAGGCTGGTTCTTCAAGTATGTTCAGGCGTGTTTGGCCCCTTATCACGTGCTTTGCAAGCGTATCAGTTCTTTAGTGAGCTGGGTCTTTCTCCGCAAATGTTAGCGAAAAGGACCGTCCTGCCTCCACATGACTCCCCCCTTCCCTTTGGTGTTGGGGAAAGCACCTAGAATCTTACTATGATTTTCTGCCAGGCTTTTCTGCACTTTGGCAGAGCTTGGCMAAGCTCGTGCCCTTCCGCAGTTTTCTAGTTAACTTTTTACTCTCCCATCAACTACATCTGCTGTGCTTAAGCAGGTAGAGAGCTGTTTTTTTTGTTTGTTTGTTTGGTTGGTTGGTTGGTTTGGTTTGGTTTGGTTTTCCCTCCTCCCCCTCCCCCCCCCTTTTTTTATGATAGTATGACTAGATAATGTAGCAGAAGTTTTGAAAATGGATTATTCATTTCTTGAATATCTATGGCTTCTAAAAAAATCAGGGCAGTCTAATCGGAAGACTCAGTCTTTGGTGGCAACAAGGTTTGCTTTTATCAGCTGAAAAGATGAACTAGTGCTACCCACTTCTATTCACAGCTGAGCATGTAGGCCAGCAAACCTAAACGTTGCAGCATGTGTGTAAGGAAACCTTGTGCGTCCCAACAGGTACGACAAAAATCTGTTGCATGTATGCCTGTGATCTATATGTTTTACCAATATTTATTGATATGTTTTACAGATAAAAGTCATATTGATTCTCCAAACCAGTATCTATGTTTGTACATGTAGGAAAATAGATTTTTTTGCAGAGGTATTCTAGCAGGACCTTAATCCATTCATTAGCTATACAGGATATTAAAGAAGTTCATTTCAACGAGTTAGAGGAATTATCTAATATTATGTAAGTGGATGAGATGTATGTCAATTATCAGGAAAACTATCAGAACTGCAATCTTAATGCATACCATTTTTATGTGCATGAAACAAAATATATATATATATATAAATACTCTTTTCCCGCTAAAGAACAAGCTTTAGAATTTTCTAACCTATTTTAATGCATTTTTGTAATTCTTTTCAAACTTGCATTTCTCATCAGAGGAATGTTTTCTAAATGATCCTTGAGACTTCTAAGTTGAATATTACACAATCTAGAAAATAAATGAGGATATTTTAAATCAATTTTATCTATCATACAACATTAGTAGATTTTTATATTATTTAAAAAAAATCCTTCCTCTTTTCTGATTTGTTATCTATGGCATTCTCATTCTGAAGTGCTTGGCTGTATAAGTTACTTTAAAAGAAAGCTCCAGAAAGTTATCTAACATTTTTTTCATTATTCCCTAACAGAATAAAAAACATACTTTTGTGTTTGTTCATAAATGAAGATAAATTTTGGACAATTTCAGAATGAGAAATGTCAGGTAACATTTTCAGAAAGTTGTGAGTGACCGAAGAGTTAGAATATACCAATTCCAGTTGACTAAGGCCAGCAAATAATAAGCAGAAATTATACAGTATGGATTCACTCTGACCTAGCCCTGGTATAATACATAGTGACAGAATTGCTGCCATTTGTGTGCCTGAGCATAACTGCAAGCTTACCCACACTTCGTTTGGTGGATTCATCTCAAGGTGTAGTGTTTTGAACTGTTTAGTTTCAGTCAGGTTCAAGATCTTTCCCGGCTTGAAGACAGAAGAGGTGACTACTCCATTATGGAGTATCTAGCTGGCAGTCGAAATTCCTCATACAATGCTGGGTGTCTAGTCCTTTAGAAGAAAACATGGCACGTGAGTTGTTAAAAGCTGTTGTGTCACTGAGTTAACACCTTCCAAAATAAGAGAAAGTATAATTTGCTTTGGGAAAAGTCCTTTAAGTGGTGATTAATATAATAATAGTAATAGTAATAACAACTTTTTTTCCCCAGACATAGTATAGATTTAGTTACACACAAGTCTCAAGTGCTGTATGAGAATTCTCAGTTTATCACTTGGAAATGTTACAAAAACTACAGCCTGATAAACCTTTTTGATTCTCAGTACCAAAACTCCTTTTAAGGCTTCTCAGAACTGATTTCCCAAAACACCTGGTTACAGCTACATGCTATGCAGGTACATACAGACAAATGGAGAAGTAAGAGGTGTAGGACTAAACATTGTCCCTCGCAGGTGACTGTACAGATTTTTGTCTGTTACCATTTTTATTAAGCATATTCTTTCCAGCCATTGCAAGTTGCAGTGAAACATGTTGAGCATTTAACAACCCCTTGCTAACACAAATTAGAGTCAGCAGTGGGAAAACAAGTATTTGGCTCATTGTTGGTTTTGTTTTATTTTTGTTCTCCCCATTTGCATTGATTTTAAGTATTTGGCTATATGCCAAATACTTGCCAATACTCCTTGCATCTACTCCCAAAGTATGGACTGAGGCAATGGTCAGTGGAGAGATCTTACCATCCATCATTACTTGATATAAATTCTGCCAAAGCTCAGACTTTGCTTGCAAGCTGGGAGCTAAGACTATATTCCTCTCCTACTTTTAACTTTGCCAAACCCCAGCAGCTGCTCCCATATCAAGTGTTGACAGTTGAAGTGTTTTCTATTGTGCTGTAGCTCTGCCGAGACCTGGCATCTGCTCACAAATAGAGGTGTTGACAGTTGGAGCTCTAGCACTTTCCCTTTGTGCTGCAGTTCTGGAAATCTGGTGCCTTCTTCGACACACAAATTTTGACAGCTTTAACTGTAGACTAACTCTAATATAGGGTAACACATGTAGGCATAGTTTGGGGGGAAAATGCTTCCACATAACATCAAATCCTGAGAGATAAGAGGCAAAGTAGGTACAGGGCTTAGAACTTTTTTTTTTTTTTTTTAATGCAGCACAAGACCGATAAAAGTACTGTGTCAATGGACTATCTGGAGAATTTTTCCTTTCTGTCAGACATTAGGAAGATATCAACCACTACTACAAAACCTGGTTATCACATTATAACCTTTTCTTTGTGACACAGGAAGTTGCACTGTGGATGTTTAGGTGCTTGAGCAAGATCAAACTCCTTCCTGTTAGGCTTATTGGCAACGTAATTAATGTGATCCCCTTGCTTTTTATGGAACCTTATCTTAAATCTTCTGCCATTTTCCATGTCTGAATGATGTTTCTTATCTGTTTTAAAAGTAGTTACACAAAAAGATCATTTTGCCAAGCAATCATAACTCACAAGACGTATTACTTATCGCTATTAGTAAGCACAGCAGGAAAAAAGTCAAGTGACAGTTGATCTCTTTTTTTATTTTTTGTTTAATTGTTGGACATCAATAAAGTAATTGTAGATGAGACAAGACCATGAATTGTTGTTCAATAATAACATGTATGTCTTCTGAGCTCTGAAGTAAAAGCAGAATTAAAATCCCTGTGTTGTATTTTAGGATAAATATAAAAAGATGAAGTAAATCAGTTCTCCCAAATGTTGTGTCTTGCTCAAATAGAAAAGGAGATTATTGTTCTTACAAACAAACTCTGCAGAGTTTTATTTCTAGGGGAATGTATATGTTTCATTATAAAATAAGAGATTCTTAGATACCTTCATAGTAAAATATTGAGTATAACAGCAAAAGACTGGGGAAGCTATTTTTTTTCTTAGATTTTTTCACATGAACTGGAATGACAAAATGAAATAGAAAATCAAATGTTTTCTGAGAAACTAAGCACAAACATTTAATGTAACTTTATGATTTCTCCAGGCTCTGATTTCAGCATTAAATAAGAAACATATTAGTAATATGACTTCGTTATTTAAACTCTCTGTCTTACGCTATATTCGTATCAAAAATGATTCAACTACATTGGCACATAAATATGAAATTAATAAAATAAAATAGATCAAAGTAGAAAAAAAAGTAGCAACCAATCCCTTTCAAAGAAAGTGTTGATAGATACAAATCTAAATCTAGACCATGTTGTATGGACGTATTTTGATTTAAAATCAGGACTGCTTTAATAGTATTTCTCCACTTGGAATGAAAACCTAACATGACATACATGAGAACAGATAATACTGGAGAATTAGTAGTAGTTATGGACATTAAATGTGGCGTGTTTCAAAGGGTTTATGATAGCTAGTTTATTAAAGGGATATTATGATGTGATAGACTGTTGGACTAGTCTCAATGTCTTAATATTTTATGATGCAGCATGGGAAAAATAAATGTCAACATTACACACTAGTATTTTGCTGCCATAAGTTATATTCGCTTCTTCCAATGTATTTAACTACAGAACTGTGTCTGTCTATAGTTATGCATTAGATATATATACAGATATGTCTATATTTATCTCCCGCGACAGTTTTTCCCCTATGGGTTTGTAAATACAAAAAGCTGATCTATAGGGACGGAGTGAGGGTTGAAGGGCTGTAAGGCTGCCTTCACTATGTCTTATGATCTTCCCATCTTGCACTGGGTAGCGTTGGGACAGGTGAGGATAGAACATTTGAGGAAATCTCTGCCTCTTCCACTGCTGTAATTTAAGTCTGTGTATCAGACAATTGGGTGTTAACTGCTATACGTGAAAGGATGGTTCAAGTGGTGTCTAGCCAGCCACTGAAGAGTTGTATGGTTGCCTGGAGACTAACTTGCAATGTTCGGAATCCATGTCTTTAAATAGGAAAGAATAAAAAAGAAAATCTTGTGCAGCTCAGTCTTAGGAAGATGCTAAGCAGCTAGACACTTGTCAGTTTTGAATTCTATTCTTAAGATTTGCAGCCTCTTGAATTTTTTTTTTTATTTTTTTTTTGGTGATCACAACATCTGTTACCTTGCTAAATGAGTTAAGAGAGTACTAGTGAGGCATTTTGCTGGCTTGAGCACATCTCACCCTTGTCCTCTGCATCTCCAGTATTCCACTACCACCAGAAATCTCTACCCCCCTCATTTCGCTGGATGTCATAGGATCATGAGATTAATTATATTGTAAGGGACCTCAGGAAGTCATCCTCTACAATCTCTTGCTCAAAGCACTATTACTTACAAAAACAAC